CAAACATAAGATTAGACAGTTTGGCCTTTAATTCTATCTCAAAATTAGCCTTCTCCAAAGTCCTGATATTTAATTACATGCATCTCTTTCTATTCTGTATGCTAAACCCTCATTTCACAGCACAGGCCCTATTTAACTATTACAAGAGATGGGATGAACAAATCTGTGTTCAGGATTCTTAGGAATTCCTTTTCTCGAGGAGGTGCTGATAATTCAGATCAGTCGGTATCAGCTTCTTTTACTAACTTGCAAACTAAAAGCCTCATGTACCAGCAAACTTCTCTCCAAAAAGCTTTGAGTGGTATGAACAGGTGTCCCCAAGCAGGTGTCTGTCGACATGCTGCCTTGTCCATACACAGAAGGAAAAAGGGACTGTTAAGAAAGGGTGTAATTCAACTGCATTTAAATCTCCCAGAAAAAAACCTTGGTGTTTGCAATATTTCATTTTTTTCCCAAGCAGAACTTGCTAATATCTACCCTAGGAATATTGCTGCATGTTTCAGCTTTCCATTAGCTGTGGAACAGATGATCAGATGCTTAGTTTTACACATGTTAGAACCAAAAGCATAAAAAAGCAGAGATGCAGCACAGTTGAGTAATCTCTAAAGAAAAAAAAAAAAGAAACAACAGCTTGAGAAGTCAGTTTGTTTGATTTTTTTTTTCTTCAGTAGATGTAATAGACATGACACAGAAGAATTGCATGAGTTTACATTTAAGATTTAAATTCATATACATTTTACTAGGAATACATATATATGTATACATATACATACTAGGAATATGGCTCCTTATCAAGAGACACAATCCTTGGTCTAAATGTTCACAATGACAGATGATACTATATGTACTTCAGAAAATGCTCACTGCCCATCCCTTAAAAGAAATTAATCTGAAAGCATCTTAATGTGCACCTCAAATGTGGAGTTACTTGCAATTGCTCATCATTTTAGAAATTTGTTCCTGGGAATTTACTCTGCCGACGCACATGCCTGTTTTCCATTTTGGTCAATGTTCATTAAAGTCAAGATCAAATCCCAAAAGAGCCTTTAGACATGACTACTCTGGCCCTGTAGGCCTTTTCTAAAAAATTATAGTTAGAAAGAATCACATGAGATATTCCTAGGAAAGGCTCATCTTTACCTCTTGCTACTGAAGGGACATTCCTGATTTCATGTAGTGGAAACAGATGACACTTAAAATCACATATCCAGCCCTGCCTTTATACAAAACGAAACTGGATCCAAGTTTTGTGCTGCAGCTTCTTGGAGAGGAATTCTGGGCATCTCTGCACAAGGGGGCGCACAGGGTCCCCACCTGCTCCATCCGTGCTCAGAGCTGGCTAGAAGCTGGTTAGCTCCAGTCCTGAAGCTAGGTAGTTAGTGGAGGTACTGTAGCACTTTTCTGGGCTACTAAACCTTGTCTGCTGCCCTGAATGAACCAAAAGGCAGGATCTAGCAGTGTGGCATAGTGCCATGCTAAATATGGCCTCCAGGGATGTGCTGGCCTGTTTCTTGCTAGCTCAGGCTGAAGCAGAGGGTGCTGGCTCAGACATGCGGTATAAATACATGGTCTTGGTGCTTGCTGAAAGTGCATGGGTTGATTTGTATTTACACATGCACCAGGAATGAGTACTTTTTGTCCATAATAGGTGTAAACACTCATTTGTCCTGCAAGGTAGGTTTTGTTGTACTTTGAAGCCACTAATGAGATGCGAGTAATTGCTGTCACTGGCTTCACAGTGTCCTATAGGAACACTACAGGATTTTGTCTCTTGCAGAAATATGATTCAGTAAGAATGCAAAATGAGCCTGGACTGCCAAAACAGATATTAAAAAGCTCAGAGAGCAGCCACTGTGAGGTCTTTGAGGGAATATGGCTCCTTATCAAGCTGCAGAGGTCATGACTCAGTTGCTTGTCTAAATAAAAGGCCCAATTTCATGACATCAAAACTTGGGGATAGTTTAGAATTTGACAAAAGAGAGATTTGCTTCACTGCTGAAATCTATTGTTTTGGTTGTCAAGGAAGAAGAACAGTTGTCCTTTTGAAATCCAAGCTTTTATAAAAAATTAAATAAAATAAATCAGGGAAACCTGGAAGACAAGCCGGCAGCAGAAGCAGTCCCTGGAAAGTAATCCAGGGGGATGCCCATGGCCCAGAGGTGCTGCTCTGGTCTAGTATCTGTTCATAGAACCATAGAATCATTCAGGTTGCAAAAGACTTTTGAGATCATCAAGTCCAACCATCAACCCTACTCTACCAAGTACATCCCTAAACCATATCTCCAAGCACCACATCTAAGCAACCTTTAAACACATTAAGGGACGGTGGCTCAACCACCTCTCTGGGCAGCCTGTTCCAATGCCTCACAACCCTTTCAGTAAAATATTTTTTCCTAATGTCAAGCCTAAACCTACCCTGGTGCACCTTGAGTCTGTTCCCTCTTGTTCTGTCATTAAATACCTGTGAGAAGAGACCAGCACCTGTCTCTCTACAATGTCCTCTCAGGTAGCTGTAGGGAGCAGTAAGGCCTCCCCTCAGCCTCCTTAAGACTAAATAGTCCCAGTTCCCTCAGCCACTCTTCATAAGATTTAGTCTCCAGGCCTTTCACCAGCTTTGTTGCCCTTCCCTGCACTCTCTCCAGCACCTCAATGTCTTTCTTGTGTTGAGGTGCCCCAAAATGAACACAGTACTTGAGGTGCAGCCTCACCAGTGCTGACTACAGAAGGACAACCACCTCCCTACTCCTGCTGGCCACGCTATTGCTAATGCATGCCAGGATGGTATCGGCTTTTTTTCTTCTTTCCCAGCCTTTTCACTATGACCCTGTGTTGGACTCTGGGCAGCTATGGGCTGTAGCTGACTGAACCACAAACCTCAGCATATGTTTTTATAAGTGCGCACGTATGTATACATATGCCTACGTTTATGTTCCCATGCCTCCCTGCCCATGTGTGTCTGCCTGGTCATGCACAGCAGCAATTTCTGCAGCAGAGGAGCTGCAGGGAACGGAAGTGCAGGTATCTAAACTAGTTTGGTGTAGGTGTTCAAGCAGAACCTGTAGAAATGATCCTCTGTGTGTGTGTGTGTGTGTTGTGTGTGAGCGTGTACACTCCCTGGAGCACACAAGAATGACAGGTGTTACTCTCAGCACATTTCACACCTCCGTCTTCTTTGTTCAGGCCACAATGGAGGAAGGATTAATTTATTATTTCCTGAGGATAGCCTGCTTGATGTGGGAAGAAGGTTTTTCACTTCTCTTTGTAAATTTTGGCTTTATCAGTCTAAGTGTGACAGCTGAAAAAGCGTGTGCATGTGATGAGTGTGCATGTGATGTGTGTGCCTGAGTAAGTATTTGCTTGTGTGTGTGTGTCTTCTTGTGTCTTCTGGCTCTAGTTTAGGATGGGTTTGTTCAGTGCATGTGAAGAGGCGCAAGAGAAAGAGGATGTGTATGACAGTGGTTCAATTAACTTTCAGTGCCTTGCAGAGGAAGGCACTACCTATGCCTTGTTCTGTGTGTAATGCCAGATAGAGACAGTCAGTGAGGATGTGTCTGCTGTGTGTGTTAGCTCTGTGAACAGTATGTTTTATTAGTGACTGCACAAACAACTGCAACTACTGGACATATGTTTGTCCCTTTTTGGATGCTAGATGCCTTTCTGTTTATGTGTGTGTATATGAATGATGGCAACTCTCTAGTTAATACAATTTACTTTGTATTTCTGGGAAAGCCACGCTTCTAGCTGTTTTGTGTGGCCTTATTTTGCAAGGAGCTATGAAAAGCTGGTGAGCAAAACTCTGAGGAGAAGCACAGAGAGACTTTTTGTTTGATTACGGTTGTTTCATGGGTTTTTTTTCTTGAACTTGTGCACTCTGTTGCATGGAAGACTTGTGGGAGAGAGAGCAGGGCACCAGGGGAAAGAAAGGGGTAAATGAACATACTGAAAATGTCAGAGGTGTGAGAAGAACTTGCCATGATAAAGCATGGAGGTTGAGGCAGTGTCACTTCTGGTCAGGAAGGAACAGGACTGAGCAGAGGACTATACATTTGGTGAGCATCATTGCTTCAGTAAAATTGAGAAGCCAGTTGCTCATTATTTACTATGCATTGGAAGCTACCCAAAGCAGCTCTAAGTGAAATAGAAAGTCAACATGGAAACTTAGCCTGTGGGTAGCTCCAGAACCATCTAGAAAATGCCAGTTCTGGTAGCCCAGCACCTCATTTGCAACTACCTTAGGTAATTGTCTGCAGTATGAGAGAATACATATTCAGGCAGCCCTCTAATAGGCCAGAAAATAGAGGCTTCTAAGGAGAAAGCTATGGGACTTCACATCAAGGAGCAGGTTGCACACCACAAGTGGTCTGAACCCAGGTTTCTTCCCAGGTGGATTAGAAAGGGAGAGAAGCCCTGGAGATGCGTAGAGGCAGATAAGGCCTGCTACAAGTGCAATAAGGGGAGAGTGAACTATGTTTCTGGAAGAAGCAACTTTCCCTCCAGGCTGGGGGTGGCTCTAACCTTCTCCCCCTCTCTTGCAGCTCCCCTGGTGGACCTCACTCCCAGTCACAGTGGTTCGGCTATGCTGATGCTCCTCTCTGTCGTTTTTGTGGGACTAGCCGTGTTTGTAATCTACAAGTTCAAAAGGTATGACCCTGCCTGAGCCATTTCCTTCTCCCCATTTATGCCTTTCACTGAGGTGTTTGGGTTGTGTTTTGCTGGGTTTTCTGTTTTGCAGTGATTTGTTTCTTGGTTTGTAAAAGGTGATACTGCATCGTCTGCCAGAGTACCCCACAATGATGGTTTCTGTTAATGTTTTAGGAAGATTCCTGGCCTTAATATATATGCACAGATGCAGAATGAAAAAGATCAAGAGATGGTCAGTCCAGTCAGTCAGAGGGAAAGCATACCTAATGTCCCTCAAAGTGAGCTGATGGGCCCTGAGCAACTAGTAGATGAGAAGTTGGAAGTCCAGCCCATAGGTAAATAACTTGCAGCATACTGCAGCTGGTCAGACTCTGACTTATAATTGGCTAACCTTTTTCTCAGCCTCCCCCCTTCCCATATTCCTGCACACTCCTCCTCCCATCCTCTTTTGCTGCAACTTTAGTTTTGCTACAGGAAACCTTGCTAACTCTTCCCTCTCCCTCACTGCCATGTGATGAAAGGGAGGGGAACAACTTTAGGCTTTTTCTCTCTCCTAGTTGCTCTATGTAGATCCCCTCCCATTCTCAAAAATCCTGCCAGCACTTAACTTGCGCTATAAGGCAATTTAATTTATTTTGCTGGGGCTGATATAGTTGCGGGGCTAAACCCCACATCCAGGAGAACTTCAGACACCCTCACCTGGAATACGGAGGTGAGAAGGCGATTCGGTAAGTCAGATCTAAAAGCTAAAATATTCGCTGATGTTTTGACTGCTGTGGCCTTCGTGCTGTGCCAGACCTTGTTGCCAGCAGCAATGCTAGCCAGTGGATTCCTAGGGAAATCGAGCAAAACCTGGGATCTCACCATTGGACAGCTGGGTTTGCCCTCAGGCTGATTTCTCCCCAGGCCTCTGTGGTTGCAAATTTGCAAAGCAGGCTTTCATAAGACCTTAAGTGAATAGACTTGAAGTGGGCATACTGGGGTCAGTCACACATTTGCTCATGCTTATATGTTTTCTGTTACCCTGACTGCAGTAAAAGTGTTGGGACAAAGCAGGGAGGTTTCAGCCTGGGGACGTGTTCTGCTAAAGCCAGCATTACTCGAGCATTGCTTAGGCATTGCTCAGCTTCACTTGTGAGGTGACAATTCTGCAGGCCCAGAGCAGAGGTACAGCACAGGATCCCTGCAAATAAGGACATGGACCTATTTTAGAGGAATTAAAGTTTAAAGCTGTTTTGACTTACGCAGGAGTGAAGCATGGTCATAACTGAGATCCTTTATTTGCACAATTTCGTCAGCTTAAGCAAACCTTAGATCCCACCTGAGGATGTCCCTAAAATGTATGGCAGTGTTTGCTAAAGCAGGCTTGGAGTCATAGCTACTGCAGAGAGTGAGCAAGGGGAAGGGCAGTTAAAGGAGGGGATGTGATGTGCTAAGATTGTGGCCTGTGAAACACTCTGGGAGGAAAAAGAAGAAAGTCTCTTGATGAAACTGATGTCTAAGCTGGAAGTCCTACTGCAACTCATACTGATCTCTCCTCACCAGTTCACTAAGGAGAGCTCTGGTAGCTATTAAAAGGTTTTAAGCAGCTATTAATCAGCAGACCTGGACATTCC